CCCAGCAGCTCCCAAGCTGCCTAATTAGCTCTCCCCAGTCCCGCCGTCCAGCTGGAGCCGGAGGGCAGGGGCAGACAAAAGCCTCCCTATTGACAGCCCCTCGAAGGAAGGGGCTTTTCTTCTCCCCCTCTGCTTTTCTTTTCAAGCCCCACTCCCCCCGCTTGGGCCGGGGCCATGGGCTCATTAGCGCTTGGGCTCCTTGGGAGCAGGAGGGAGCAGATGGCAGCCAGGCGGCTGGTGTGGCCGGCCCTGCTGCCGCCTCTTCCCGCAGAGCAGATGCCCGACCAACAAGGGGGAGGATTAACAGGAGTGGGGGGCCATCGCCACGGCAGGGCCACCAGCGGGTGCTTCCTCCCCAGCATCACATCCCGATGCCGATGCCCAAGGGCTGCCAGCCCGCTGGGGACGAGTGGGGATCAGAGCCACCAAAATATGGCCAGGAAACCAAAGGTTGGGATGGGAGAGAGCTGGTCCCCAGTCCATCAGGGACCGTCTGCTGGGACAAAAGTCACTGCAGTGGCAATGGCCACGGGGGAATTGCAGCCACCTTCTGACCTCGCTGGGGGTACCGTGACCCCCTGGCACTGCAGTGCCATGGCTGCTCCTACCCAGTCCCAGCGCAGCTGGGGGGAGCACCCTGCCAACCTTATCCCAGGAGGTTTGCAGCAGCAGCACCCAGACCTGTCCCCCGAGATCACCTGTGATGGCAAACCAAGCAGCGAAACTGTTCTTAATCCCACTTCAGCAACAGACCCCTCCCTCCCCCTGCATGCACAGTGCATCCTGGGGGATTAAGGGTTAAAGCACAAATCCCCTGCGCTGCCCTGATGTGACCCACTTAGACCATCTGGCAGGGAGGGATGCAGGAGCCTCCTTTCTCCCAGCGCTGCCGGTGCTCACCCGGCATCACCAGCTGCCCCAGGAGCTGATGCTGGCACCCGCAGCCCCCAGCCTCAGCAGTGCCCTTGCTTTTCATGTAGAAGGGGATTTCAGGTGAATTTGGGAGGGGGCAGCCTGTGCCACACCGCCGTGGCTGGCGGTGTGGGAGCGAGGAACCCAAACACCCCAAAAGCATCCTGAAAGTCCCCGGACTGCCACCAGCTCCAGGTCCCAGGGGGACCCTGCAGAGTGTCCCAGCCTGGGTGTCCCTGGCACCAACAGGTTCCCCAGCAGATGGGTCCTGACAAAGTACACAGCAGTGCTGGGAGAAGTAAGCTCACCGAGCGCGAAGGGGCTCCCAGCCGCCGCTGGGGTCACGGTCAGGGAAGAGACGCAGGCAAAACCCATCCGAGAGAAGAAAGGGGATCCCGGTCGTGGGGCCAGGGCTACAGCGTGGCGGTGATACCTGTCCCCAGAGGCTGGGTGGCACCTTATCACGGGAGGTTTAAAGAGTGTTTTCAGTTCACAAGAGCCACAGAGCCTTGCAGCAGCTGCTGGGTAGCGATCGCATCATCCTTACGGACCAGCAAGGGGAAGCGAGGACACCCCAGCTTGGCAGAGGGGCTTGGGGCAGGGTGTCCCTGTCCCTAGCCCACTGGGTATGCAAACACCTCAGACCCCACCTTGGGATTTTGCCTGTGCTGGAGCAACCCTGCAAAGGCAAGCGTGGGAGCAGCCCCAGCCTCACTCAGCCTCCCCACATCACCCGCAGCTGCAAACCCACGGCCCCAGGCTGCATCCTGCCAGACCCTGCGTGGGGAAAGGTTAATTGGAAAAGCCCCTTTCCCCATCATCTCTTTTTTTTTTTTTTTTCCTTTCACACTGCAAACTGGTCAATAATCCATTTACTTTGGCAGAGCCCTACTCTGGGCACGAAGCCTTGTCGGGGTGTAATACATGCCTCCCCCCCCCCCCCAGCCCCATCAGGAAAGGGATTAATGTATTCTTTTGTTCCAGGATGAATCCTGGGTTTAGCAGAGCTTTAAACCTCCAAACCTCCCAGAAACCTTGATGGGAATTTAGATGGAAGAAGCTTTATCTTCAGGACCAGCCCCAAGGTGGTAGGAAGGGATTGGGCACAGCACAGAGCCGGCTGGAAGGCAGGGGAAAAAAAATTGTTTTAAAATCACTATCTGCCCCAGGAACCCCACTGCTGCCCTCAAAGGAGGCAGGACTGAGCCCTTACCCATGCCCAGGGCACCCTGCAGGGATGGATTTGGGCTATGCCCACTGTGGGGGTTCCCAGCAGGACCCCTTTGCCACAGCTGAGCCCCTCTTGGCACCGCACAAGGGCACAGGCTCAGCCAGAAAAACTGATGGGGAGATGGGCAGCGCTGGCCTAGAAACCATGCCATCGGCTCCACCGCTGCGGGAAGCACAGGGCTGGATCCAGGGCAGAGCTCTGCGGCGTTTGCAGAGGACCAGCTGTCAAGTGTGGGAGAAAACAGAAATCCAGATGGTCATCTTAATTTTTCATTTGGCTAACTGGTCTCCCCGTCTCCTCTCTGGTGCACTCTGCTCCCCGGCACTGCAGTCATTTGCTCTTAAATTAGCCGGGAGCATCGTCAGGGAAGAAAGGCCAATCCGAGCAGCGGCGCAGGGAAACCTTCAGGAAAAACAAACCCAGAGCGGAGCTGGGCATGGAAACGGCTGCAGAAGAGTAGCTGCCACGAGCCTTGGGGCCATTCTCCCCATGGATAGGGAGCAGGAGCCCAGTTCTGGCTGTTGCTGAACTACAAACCTTGGGGTGCTAGGGACATTGCCGTGTACCCCAGTGGGAACCTGCAGCAAGACCCCTGGGGATGTGAGCTCTGGCATCTCGTAGGCACGATCCTGCCAAGGCAGCAGCCTCGGGCTCCCGGCTGAGCCCCGTGTCATGCGAGCCGAGCCGGCAGCCCTGACAAGAGGAGCCAGTGCCCACGGTCTCTCTCTGCTCCCCCAGCCTTTGGCTTTGACCCCCTCTGGAGAAGCAAAGCCCCTCTGTGACACGGGGGCAGGGGCGAGCGCAGCAAATGCCCCGCAGACCCCAGGGAGAGCCCCGCCGGGGCTGCCCGCGCTCGGCACCTGTAGCGAGGACGGTGGGGCAGATACCTGCACCGTGGGGAATGGCCCCGGCCCCGGCCGGTGGCTCACGCTGCGAGGAGACAAAAGGAGCTGGGGCTGCACCAACACCGGGACCTGGCAGCATCGTGGCTGGCTGTGCAGAGCACACCCCGGCTTGGGGACCCCGTCACGCAGGGTCAGCCCGTGCCAGGGTGCAAAACGCAGCAAAGCGGAGCTGGCGGGTCCATTTTGCCGTGTGCCGAGAGCTCCCGACCCCTGCACAGATGGTTCCCCTGCCGCTGGAGCTGGCATTGCCGGCGATACAGAGACACATGCACATTTGTTAACTTTTTAACAGAGCTGCAAACGCTCCCAACCATGGTCCTCAGCCCGACCAAGGTATGTGTAGCAATCCAAATTGCTGTGTAGAGCCGTGCATCGTTCCTGGTACTTGGGCTTGCTGTATTTCCCCAGTGTCCTAAATTTGTTGCCTTATTACATCTCCGACTGCAAGCCATTTAAGCAGCACAGCTCTCTCAGGCACATTCAGGCAGGAGAGGGTGCGTGTGTGTGAGCCGGCACCCAGCCAGCTGACAGCCCCTTTGGGTGCCGACCGTAGCCCAATGCAGGGGAGGAGAAAGACGTGGTGGTTCCTCTCCCCCAGGAAGGCTGAAGCCCTGCAAATGCTGCCTGTGGAAATGAGATTTGCTCTTCTCCTTTGGAAGCCTAAGCCATGCCTTTCTCAATTTCCTACCCTGATTAATGGCAATTGGAGAGATTGGAAAAATTCACGCGGGGGCAGCTGGGCCCTGCAGGGGCAGAAGCAACCCCCACATTGCATGAGCAGTGGGACCCCCGTCCCTGTCGCTGCTCTGGCTCACAGCCCCCACCAGCACAGGAGGCACCCAAAACAGCTTGCTCCCCACAAGATCTCTGCTCTTTAGTACAGGCTGAGCCCCCAAAACCCAGCCCATTGCAGACTGAGCCCCTCTCCTCTACAGACCCATCGCCTTCATGAAACTTTGGGTTGTTTCCTCTACCGGGCAGGGAGCAGACAGCAGTGGAAATACAGAGCAAAGAGCAAAAGCCTCCTTTCCTTATAAGAACAGTGCAAAGAGGATATTTTTAACCAATATTGAGACAGTCAGCAAAATCAAACCGGTCTAAATTAGAGAGCGCATTGTTGCGAGGAAGCCACACGGATCCTTGTCCGTGCAACAGCCCGGCTGAGCGGCTCGGTGGGTACGAGCAGCCCCCTCACCTCATTTCATGGGTTTTGGCCGTTGTTCTGCCTCTGGCAAAGGTGGGGGGCACCGGCCTCCCTGGGAGCAGGAGGGACAGGGTGGGCAGGCACCAGAGGTGCAAAGCCGAGACTGCTCGGCTGTGGGACCTGGGGGACACCAGTCCCAGAGCCATCCTGGCCCATGGCTATGTGCTGGCTCCTGGGGGAGCCTTGGGGCTGCACATCCCTGGGGTGCATCAGCCTCCCCCCTGTGCCAAGGCAGGGTCCAGATGGAGGGAGGCTGTTCCTCTCCCTGGGCATCACCTTTCCCTGGTGAAGGAGTGATGTAGAGACAACCCGCAAGATACACACCTCAGGGGTCTGCATGGCAGGGAGGGAGGTGGCCACAACTTCTGGCTGATGACCCCCACCACTGCCCCCCCTCCACAGCCCAGCTAGAGCTTTCCAGGCCGCTGCCCTGCTCCCCTCGGGAGGCAGCCAGCTCTTGAGCTCCAAGCACCATCAAGCCAAAGTTTCCGGAGCCCGCTCCCCTCCAGAGCACAGCACCTACCCGGGGAGGGGGCCCAGCCAGCCAACATCCCCCCGCCCCTGGCACTGGGGGGGACCCCTATGTCCTCCAGCCTCTAACTGGGGGTGGGGGAAGGAGACACTCCAGACCCTCCTGATGGAGGGTTACTAACTGGGGGTGGGGAGGAGGTTCGCGGTGGTGCGTCCCCCAGCCAGAGGCAGGATGGGGGGGCTGTCCCTGAGCACCCCACACCCTGGCAGCTCTTACCTGGGCAGCGGCTTGCGGGCGGTGATGCTGGCCACGATGATGCTCTCGGGTCGCGGCGTGGCCACGGCTTTGAAGGTGCCTCGCCAGAACTTCTCGAAGAGCTGCTTCTCGCCTTGCTGCACGCTGGCCATGGCCCCCCACCCCGCTTTGTTTCCCGCCCCCCCCCCCCCCCTCCCCGCGCTGCTCTCCGCGGTGCTGAGCGCTACATCCCCCGGTCCCCGGCCCGGCGCTGCCCCGGCTGGCGGAGAGCTGTGCGGCCCCGACCGCCCCCGCCTCCCGTTTTGTACCGGCGAGGCGGGGAGAGGGGCCGGGCCCGGCCGCCGTCCCCTCCCCGGCACCGCCTCCCGCGGCAGCTGCGCCCGGGGCGGTGGGGACCCCGGCCCGGGGGGGCTGGGAGCCGCCCCCGGCGCTGCCCCGGCTGCAGGGGGGCAGCTCCGGAGAGGAGCCGGCGGCATCTCTTGGGCCGGATTCACTCCTCTGCCTGGGGAAAGCAGGGGCTGCTCCCCCTGCGCCGGGGGGCTAGGGGGGGGGGGGTCCCACCCTACGGGCAGGTTTGCCACCCTCACTCACAGACTCACCTCCACCCCGGGGTCTTCACAGTCCCCAGCACCTTCGTTGCTCCATCCCCACCGTTACCTCCCCCAGCCAAGGAGCCACTTCCAGTTCGCTACTGGATCGTGGGCACCCCCCCCCCCGCCTTGCCCTTTGCGGGGCACAAACCCTCCAGGGCAGAGCACCAGCCTGGGCCCCCACGAGTCCCCGTCCCCCAACACAGGCTGCCTTTGTGTTAGCCCAGTCCCGACTAGTTACCGGCCACAGGTGCAGAAAGAGGGAGAGCTTAGAGCCACCAGCTTGGATGGCAGAGGGAGAAAGCGATAGGAGGCCACGGAGACCTCTGTAACTGGTCCGTGCCGGGACCCCTATGAGGAGAAGATTTGGGAAGAAAACACCCTTTTTCTCCCCCTTCCTCATCCCTTCCCATTTAACAAGCACTGGTGGTGGTGGGACAGGGATGGGACACGCTGCTTCTTGGCCCCAGCAGCAGGACTGGGAAGCAGCAGGCAGGGAAACCCTGCAGTGGGATCCCAACCAGCTCAGAAAACAATTCCTCCCCTTCCAGGGCAGGATTCGACCCACTGGGACTGGGTGCACGGGGAGGGGGAGGGAAGGGCTGGGGCGGCTCAAATCAGTGGGGCAATTTCCCTTAGCTTCTGCTCCAAGTACAATAAAAATGTCTTTAGGAGAAAATGCTTCTTCTACCAGATGCTTTGAAGCGCAAGTAAAAGCTGGTGACCTTGGATGAATGAGACTCTATTGTGCCTTGGAAACCCGCACGATACGTTTATGTAAGCGATGGGGGGATAATGGAGCCAGGAACAATAGGCGGTGGGAGCCAAGAAAGAACAAAAATCACAGAGAAACTTAATCGCTTTCTTGCGATAAATACAAAATTAGCAGAAGGCTCATTCTGACAGCATTGTCTGTCGAACTCCTCCTTCCCTGCCCCTCTTCGCTTTCTGCTCCCGGTGCCGGGGCTCTGCCCCGCTGGCACCCCGGGGGTGGGTGGCCCTGGGCTGTGTCCCCACGCCGAGAGCTGCCAAGCGGGAGCCTGGGCAGCACACGCCAGCCGGCCGGTGCTGCCGGGAGCCGGGGAAGCAGGCACGGAGCCAGCAGGGCTTTATAGAAACGCAGTCAGCTCTGCCAGACGTTGCCTCAAAAGCCTGGTAGGGAAGGACGACATTCACACGTGGCGGAGGGATGCTCGCCCGGAGGAAACCTCCTGGGGGCACCGGGCACCACGCCGGGGCTGGGAAAGGCCGGCTGTGAGCTGCGGCTCCGCTCTAGCCCAGCGTGGGCAGGAGATGTGGGAGTGGAGACCCTCCAGGGACTGCCAGGGCCAGCAAACAGCAGGGCAAAAGCAGAAAGAGCCAGGGAAAAGGGCTTGTGAGGTCTAGAGCAGCCACGCTGCAAAAGCACGGCTGGCGGAGGGGGCTAACTGCACCCCCAGCAGACACCCACCAGTGGGAGTGCGTGCTGCCAACCACCCCATCACCCTTTTCCCACGGATGGGCAGGGACAGGCACTCACCGCCCAAACAAATCCAAGCCTGGGTTTCTTCTGGCCCTTCCAGCCATTCCCATAACACACAGCCTATTTGTTAGGAGCCCGTTTCCCTTCAGAGCGCATGAAACTCAAAGAAAAATCAAGTAGAAGCACACACGTGCCCTGGCGTCGCTCTGTTTTGTCAGTAAATGACCCAGACGCGGGGTGGGGGTCAGGCAAGAGCCCTGCCAGCACAGTCAGCCCCGACCCTTCTGCTTGCTCTGCTCATTACAGCTCATTAACCAAATACCCTGCAAGGCCCCAGCCCCTGCATCCCCGGGGCTTTTTAGGGCCAGTCCAACCACCCCCAGCTGCAACCAGAGTCCTCGTTGCGCCCCAGGGCATTTCACCCCCTTCCACCAGCAATCTTGGAACAGCTCTAAACACCCTAAAATTAACTACCAAATAAAAGGAATAATAAATGTTTGCACTATTAAATTAGCAGCATGGGTGGTGTGTGGGCAGGAGGAAGACTGTGATCATTACAACAAGAACCCTCTCTCCCGGCATACCTCATGGAGACATCGGTGAGCCAATTAAGAAATTGGCTCAATTAATGGGGGCTCCTAGGAATAGATTTCCCTGCTATAGAATAACTGCGCTGTAATAAATTGTCTCATAAATAAACAGCCTGAAAAAGCATTACAAGGTACCCAGAAAAAGCACTCTAACATAAGCAGAAATGATACCTTACATTTCTAGCATATCTATTAGCCCACGGCACTGCCAGCATTTCCCCAAACCTGGGTCGGTGCCCCTGCGAGGGGCCATGGGGACGGTGCCAGGGGGCACAGGCTGCCCCCCCTGCCCCGAGCCCTCGGGGTGCTCATTTCTGTAGCCTGGAAGCAGCACCCCCCCGAGCCCCAGCAGGCACTGCCTACCCCACGGGACTGCTGTCTGCCAGCGGCGCGCAGCCGGCGGTTACTCACCCCGTGAGCACGGCAATAAACGCCACCCCGCGTTATTTACAGCCCCGGCGATAACGTGGGACCCTGCCAGGTTCAAACGTTTGCACCCAAACGGGCGCAATAAGCTGTAGCAGAGAGATTGAGCCCTGGGATGGGAACAGGGAAAACCAGGACTTGCAGGTGAGCTGCACAATTTCCTCCAAAGCAAATCAAAAAATTAAAAAAAAAAACCCTCTTCCTTAGAGAGCTCTTCTTTATTTGTTTGGGGGGTTTTGTTGGTTTGTTGTTTGAGTTTGATTTTTTTTTAATGAGACAAAGGGCTGAGCCTGAGTTTCCCCCACCCTGTATGGGGGGGCTGCAAACAAAGCTCTCCCCCCTCTGCAGTCCTACAGCTGCCTGCACCACACAGCTGAGCCCTCACCCTGCAAAGCCCCACCCCCCCCCCCCCCCCCCCCCCGGCCCCAAAACCCCCTGGAGAACCCGAGAGGGACTTACCTGGCTCAGAGGCAGGTGGAGATGCTCAGGACCCCCAGCCCTGCCCTCTCCTGCTTCATCCTCTCCCACATTTAAAGGGCCCAATCTCCCCATCCTCTCCCACCCCCCAGCTTTGATTTTGGGGGGTGATTGAGAGAAGATGAGCAGTCCCTGCTCTGGGTGAACACCACTGTGGGTGTTCAGCCACTGTCAAGGAGGACGAGCTCTGGGGATGAGGGAAGAAGCAATCAGCAGGTGAAGCTGTGTATGATCAAGAGGTACCCAAGGGGACGGAAAGGAAAAAAATGTGTTTAACTAGGATTAAATTTTAATCTGTTCCCCCTAGAAGAGAGAAAAAAGCTGGATTTGTCCCGGAGCTGCACAAATATTTTCTTTAAATGTTGTGTTTTGTCATTTTTGTTTGGGTTTTTTGGTTTTTTTTTTTTTTTTCTTATTTGGCTTGCACCCAGCAGGAAGAGCCTGGTTTTGCCCAAACCACCCCTTTCTCACCTCCACGCAGCAGCGTTGGCACGGTGCTGCTCCACCCATTCCCCAGCCAAACAGGTTTACTGCAAATGCAGAAAATCAATAATTATCTTTGGAAGCATTCATTATCACTCAAGAGTCAATAAACAAAGGCTATGAGTGCCCTCTATTCATGGCACTTCAGAAGCACCTACCAATTATTCCCTTTGACTAAGCCAGCCCTGCCTGGCAGGAGCGGGGTTCCCCACCGCATGCTGCAACACAGCTGCCTGCTGCAATGTCTTCCCGCTTCAGCTGGGGAGGAGGAGAAGGAAGGAGGCCTCCTTGCCTAAAATAACGTTTGCAACTGAGATGTGAACATGCAAGGTGATGCACAGCTCCGCTTCGAATGCCGTGGCAGATGCAGATGGATGCTGAACAGGTCCAGCCGTGGGGCTGCCCGGGCGGAGGGGCTGGGAGATGCTCAGTGGGGCTGGATCTGAGCTGGTTTTCCCAAGAACGGTGGCGTGGAGGGGGCTGTGGGGTGGGGAAGCAGCAACGGCCGTGGTACAACGTGCAGCACCTTGTGCCGAGCTGGAGAAAGCACTCGGAGGGTGGCCGGTGGCCGAGCACCCCCACACTGTTTCTGGAGCATCTTTAACTTGGCAAATGGAATTTGAAGAGTCAAACTGTTGCAAGAGAGCATTCATCATCCTTCTGGTGGAAAATATCTGTTTTATGGCTCTTTTCCCCTCATTGAAAGGCTCCCAGCTGGCTGCGCAGCCCTTGGCAGAGACCGGCACCTGGGCCCCCGCCTCTGCCCATCCCCATGGCCAGGTACATCCAAGGATGAGGCACTTATCAAAGGTGTCTGGTTTTTTGTCCTTCCTTTCTCTGTCTGTGGAAAAGCAGTTTTCACCTCTGGGAAACACGGGAGCACCCACAACCCTGGTGCAGCTGCAAGGCTGTGCTGGCGCCTGGGGTGCAAGACAGTGGCAGTGGCCGCTCTGTCCCTTCTCTCCATCCCCCCTCCCCGTGTCTTGCCGGGCGATAAATAAGGGAGAAGCTGGGACACGGAGCTGCAGCCTCCCTTGAAGAGGCTGCAGGCGCTGGGGCACATCCGTTGCCAGCAAGGGCCACCCATCAGCGCCCGGCTCGAAAGCTTCTGGTCGCTGCTGGACGTGGTGC